TTCCCACTGTTCTCTCTCCCTCTCTTCTTCTTTCTCTGTTTCTCTCTCTTTCTCCCTCATTCTCTCTTTCACTCAGTTCTCTCTCTCTCTCCCCTATTCGCTTTCCCCTCTCTCTGTCTCTCTCTCTCTTGCTCCCTCATTCTCTCTCTTCCCCTTCTTTCTCCCTCGCTCCTTCTCTCTTTCAATCTGTTCTCTCCCCCTCTCTGTCTCTTCTCCTCTCTTTCACTCTCTCACTCCTTTTTGTCCTTTCTTTCTCTTCATCTCGCTCTCTCCTTCTCGTTCTTTCTCTCCCTCTTGTTCCCTCATTCTCCCCCTTACCCTTCTCTCTCTCCCGCTCTTTCTGTTATCTCTCTCTTCCTCTTTCACTTCTCTCTCTCCCTTGGTCTCTCTTCCTCTCTCTTTCACTCTCTCACTCCTTTTGTCTTTTCTCTTTTTCATCACTCTCTCCCTCTCTGTCTCTTTCTTGCTCTCATATTTTTTTCTTTCCTCTTCTCTCTCCCCCTCTCTTTCTCCCTCTCTCTCTCTCTCTATCTCTCTCTCTCTCCCCTGTGTAGTTAAATCCATTCATTGCCCGTCAGGTGTCGTGTTCGCATTATGAAAAATGTGTGTCACTTTGGAGAGTTCTCGTCTTTTTCTCCGGTCTGTGGGGCCTTATCTATTACTGTCACTCTCTCTCTCTCTCTTTCTCTCTCTCTCTCACTCTCTCTCTCTCTCTCTTTCATAAAGAATATGCTACGCAGGCATGGACTGATGATGAATGTGTTACCAGGCGATTATGCCTGGAGGAGCGGGTCTGTAGAGAGAGGTAGAGTGACGGAACCTGGAATAGAGAGAGAGAGTGCGTTCATTCTTCCAGCAGAGCATACTTCCCTTTCCTCCTTCATCCTCCCATCCACATATTTCCTTCATTTCTGCATAACGGTCCTCCATCTGCACTACCACCCCAGCAGAGGTCGTCTTCCAGGGATTTGCTTGTGTTTTCATGAATTTGTAGCAAATCTGAGCCGTTTCCCTCATATGGACAGTGACAGAGAGGCGCTTACAAGATTAGCGATTAGCTAACTAACCAGCAGGACTGAAAAACAGAGAGAGGCAGCCAAGCATGCCCTTCTCCAGCCTGAGGCACTGGCTAGCTCGCTGCAGCCACAACCCCAGTGCAATATGCAAACTTCCATAACAGAAGACTTAGTCACTTCCAATTCCCTTCAGATTAGCATTACTTCTAACCTCAGCCTGAACTTCCAGCGTCACTTCAGAAAAGCTTCATGCTTTAGGGACTTTCCACTAAATATCATATCCATATCAGCAGCTGTTTGGTCCTTTAGATCCAGCATTGTTTGTCATTTCGCTGATCGTTCTAAAAAATAACCACATACATCATTTCATAGGCAGTTACGAAATCAGTTAGATTCACATTCTGTATGTCGTTTGAATCTGCACTTCCAACATTTCTGCATTTGTTTAGACGTCCAGAAATACACAAATATAGGACAATAGCAAAAATAAAGGATGAATTTACTTTTCCCAAGACAAGACTCACATATGAGAAAGAATTAGACATTAAACACAAGACTATACCAGCTTTTTTACTAATTGTGACTTAGTTAAACATGTTCACTCCACTGTAAATGATAACAGTATACTTTATTAGAGTTCTAAGCAAGTTTACTTATTTTGAGCAAACTAATATTTTACTTAAGTTTCTTTAAAGAAATGTTACTAAATAGCACATCAAATAGCACAACAAATTTCTAGCTAACATTACTTTTGATCCTGAATTTCTGAACTGATGTACTATTTTAGTACTTACTTTACTGCTTCAATACTCAAAAATTCTTCAGTTAAAATCAACAAAAGTGTATGTATTTATTAATTTATAGTAAAAGTGAGGTTTTCGGTTTTCCCAACTTTTTTAAGATAAGGTTTACAGTATACAGTGTTTTTTCTTTTTTTTTTCAAAGTAATGTTTACAAAGCTTTTTTTAAGTAATGTTTACACTCCTTTTTGAAAGCAATGTTTACAGTTTACACTGTTTTATAAGAAAGGTTCAAAGTTTACAGTTTAAGTCATGTTTAAGGTGTTTTTAAAATATTATTTATAGTTAAGTGTTTTTTAAAAATATTTAGTGTTTTAAGTAATATTTACTGTGTTTTAAGTAATGTTTAGTGTTTTAAAGTAATACTTACTGTGTTTTAAGTCATGTTTACAGTGTTTTAAGTAATGTTTACAGTGTTTTTAAGTCACGCTTACAGTGTTTTTAAAACAATATTTACAATGTTTTAAGCAATATTTACAGTGTTTTAGATAATATTTAGTGCTTTAAAGTCATGTTTACAGTGCTTTTAAGAACATGTTCACAGTGTTTTTAACATATTGTTTACAATTAAGTGTTTTTAAAGTAATGTTACAAGTGTTTTTAATTAATATTCACAGCAGTGTTAACAAAGTAAAATTTACAGTTACATTTACAGTTACATATTACTAAAAATTATATTGTAAATATTATACTGTGTTTTTAAAGACGTTTTACAGTTTACAAGTCATGTTTCTAGTGTTTTTGTAAGTAGTGCTTACAATGATTTTCAAAATCATATTTACACTGTTTTAAGTGACGTCTATTGACAGTTTTTCTAAAGTAATGTTGACAGTATTTTAAAGTAATGTTTACGGTTTACAGTATTATTGCAGTGGTTTAAAAATTCAGCAACACATTTTCTTTGGGCCTTGTGATGTTTTGTGTTTGTTCATTGGTGCAAAAAATCAGAACGCTTATTTTTATAAATAACTCTTTCAAATATATTTAATATATTCCAGAACATACTAATTGCAAGTGAGCTGTTCTGCTAACGTTGTTTTTGGCTACAGCACACACGCTAATCTTAGGGCAAGTCTGAAGAAAGGAACAAAAGACACTAACAGCTGGCTGCAGTTAACAGACAGTGCTGATCTGGCCAAACTGGACAATGCACAGTACAGTACTGGACCATCAGCAGCAGTCAGAGGTCAGACTGAGTTCATGTCTGGCTGCTGGAACTGGACGCACTTAATGAAGATTAACGGATGCTAGCTGCCACATTTCCCTTCAGAATGATAAATCCGTCATGAGTGCTGACTGAAGATCAGAGAGTTACAGTAAGAGACATGCTGAGACACTATTCATCTATTGTTTTATATTATAATGAAACAGTTGTACAGTGAACACCAAAGCCTGTCTGTTATATTTATGAAAATGTAAGTGATTTATGCTTTTTATTAACTGCTTTATTTTAATGAATGCATGGATTAAGCTGTGCTTTATTCTTTTTGGCTCGTCTCTCTCCGTCTTTGGTCATTAAAGAAGAAAAAAGGGGCAGTTCTGTGATTACTTGCTCTCGGTATTGAGCGGGACAGAGAACAAACGACATTAGAGACGTGATTCTGATTACGTAAGCAGGCTGGCTGGCACACAAATACAACAAAACAAAAAACAATTCAATTTAGTCCTGTCCCTATTAATGACTTCGCACTATCAAATTAACATCTTTATGGCCAATTACCCCCCTAAACCCAGCGCTCCGTCTACCATCTCCTCTCTTCCTCCCCAAGATGCAATTTAATTAAATTCAAATCGCTTTATTGCTCTCTGATGCTGAGAAAATTCATGACTAAACTAAAGGTCATTCTCGTGCGCACGCGGAGAGGCCGCGGCCATTTTCCTCATCAGTCATATCTGTGGTTTTCCAATCCAAAATGAAGTTGTCTTACTGCATGATCTAAATTTCTTATAGTGTTAAGCCTCAGAAGTCCATCGATAAAAGCATTGTCAGTAACACTTTCTATGAATGTCACCTTTGTAAGCATCTATAAACACATTCATAACATGTTATAATGCATTCATAAGGCATTATAAACATGGCTATAAATATTTATAAAAATGCATTACATGTTATAGCCATGCTTATTATGCATTATGAATTTTTAACATAATACATCATAAGCACCGATACAAATTATAAGAGCTCATAAGTCGTATTTGTCCGCTCTAAGTAAAGTGAAGCATACAGTACTAAAGCGTCCTCCAATGTTAAGAGTGAGGCTACAAGTTGAAGCATTTACTGAAACACTTCAACGTACAAAGTACAGCACATTACAGGCTTCACACGTCAGAGTTTAAACTAGTGCTGCCATCAGTGTTTTACCCAATGTGGGAAAGTCAATGTTCACCACCGTTAGCTTGGTATTTGTCTTTACTTTACACTCTCCGAACTGGGACTGACTTCTTTGGCACTGACAGTATAACATGTTATCAACACTACTTATGATGCATTATATTAACAATTCATAATGTATAATAAACAAGGCTATAAAGTGTTATTCATTTTTATAAATGTTTATAATCGTGTTTATAATGCCATATGAATGCATTATAACATGTTATAAATGTGTTTATAGATGCTTACAAACATGACAGTCATAGAAAGTGCATTTTCTAATTATTTCTCACTCGTAGCCCTTTAAAAAAGCGGAGGAATTGTGTTGAAAGTGTAGATTCTTAACTGTCAATCCACACCACATTTGTGTTTGTACATGCCTGTGTGCTGGCTGGAAAGGCAAAGCAAAACCCCCATATGACAACCAAGGACCTGCAGGAAAGTACAGCTGACATGGGAGTGGTGGTGCATGTAGAAGATGAAATATTATCTTTATTATCTACTCTTATTTATATTAACCATGTTTTTGCCATTTTTTGACAAAGAATTGTTAAAAAAATGCCAAACCTGATGATTTGAATATAAATCCAAATCACTATAGAACCATGTTCATATGTAAATAATTATGTAGTGAAAATGGACTGTAAATATAATTCATTCTGCAACTATAAGTAATTATGTAATTGTGCAATTATATAAAAATAGTAGCAAACTGACAGTAAGAACCCTACTGCATCTCTTAGGTTAAATCTTTACAGGTTAATTCCTTTTTTTTTAGTTAAGAAGCTATAAAATTAGCAAGGAACTTACCCAGAGCAGCAGGCCCCAGCAGGCTGGCCAATAGGAGCATCCGTAGTGCCCACATGACCCCTCCCCGCTGACCGATGTTAGTGAAGATGGCCCTTTCTGCTAGATGAGAAAGTGTGAAGTTGGGTTTGTTAGACAGGATTGGACACGGCCAGAGTTCTGGACTGCTGTAAGCCACTATGTCTTCACCTGAAAACACACAGAGAGAAATACATCAGAACTGACCACAATGATGAAGTTTAAACTCTATACTGTAATAAAAATAGTGATATGAAAGGCTTGAGTTATATACTGTGTACTGTATATATTGTTTATAGCAGCAACAACAACAGAATTACGCCTCTCGCCAAAAAAGTGGTGTTAAACAAAAACAATACGATGTAAACAACGTCATCCAGAGTGGTTTGATGTGAATGTGCCATTCTACAGAAACTCAGAGGCACAATAAAAACTGTTTACCTACCAAACTGTACACAGAGGTGAATAATTACATTGGAATTTAAAAAGATTGGTGACTATAAAATTCCCAAACAGACCCTGGTGGCTACTTAAATCCATGTAGATGTCCACCTGTTCATTCATTTTCTCTATTTACTGTAGCTAAAGTTGCTGTAGGCGGTACTTTATTCAGGTTTTCCGTGACAGACTGGTTAAACAAGCAGCAGATGCAGTACCATCTTTGATTTGGAACAGATTTCCACAGGAAAATGATTCAACCAGCTGTTTTTTTCTATTGAATTAATGTGTGTAATTTTAGTACACTGATGTTGGTCAATCTGTATGGAATTTAAATCTTAGAATTCTGAGAAAGTCTAAGTCTAAGGCATGTACGGTCTAAAACACTTCTGCCAAACAAAATCCTCTCTTACAGTTGTGTTTAAAAGTTTAGTCATGCCTGGCAAAATTATATTTTGCTGATTTTTAACTATTTAATAAAAATAAAAAAAATATTTCTGCATGTCTCTGAATGCTATGATCACATCATTCTGTATGCTTACTTTATTTTGGATTCATTTTTAATTTTACTATATCTTTATATGGTACACAAGCTTTATTACGTTTTCTATTCGGATATATAACTTCTGTATGTTAATTCATTAATGTTATTATTTTATTCTGTACTTCATAATGGATATTAATTTTATTATAAAATCATAAAAGATCATATAATAGTGTTCTTTCCATTGCATTATGCATATTATTTTTTATATAACTTCATGCTGGATACTAATTTTATTAGAACTTCATTCTGGATTATAATTTTCTTATAATTTTAATCCGACTAAGTTTCTTATTTTATTTTGGATGCCGATTTTCTCAAAAATATATTCCAGATATTAATTTTATGCTAATTAACATCCAGAATGAAGTTATCATTTTATTCCAGATGTTAATTTTATTATAAGTCCATTCCAGATGCTAATGTTATAATAACTTTATTCTGGATGTGATTTTTTTTTTTAATAAATTGATTCTGGATGTTCATTTTATTCCGATTTTACTCCTAATGTCAATTTTGTTATAACTTCAATATAAATATTATTATTATTCTAATTTCATGTATATTAATTTTGGCATAATGTCAATTTTTGATTACAGGCTCACACTTGCAGCTACAGTTTTGTGACGAATGATTAATTTCCACACAGAAAGTTTCTCACACTGTGAGCTGTTGTGCAGGTTGCCATGCTGGGTGCTTTTCATAAAAGATCACACTTAAAGTGTTGATGAGGTGCCATGTAATTTCCTAACCTATATAACAGCCACGCAGAAAGTTCCGAACTATAAAACTCTTTTGTGTGAGTCTAAACTGTAACAGAACCAGCCAGCAGACTATGGACATTGAAATACGAGAGTTAATGTAACTCCACATGCATTTAATCACAAACAGAAGCTGTTGACAAAAAAAAAAAAAGTGTTGATTAGGACTCAAACCAGCTAAGCACAGCAAACACCTCATTACAGTCGTACAGAAACGCGTCTCAGAGCAGCAGGCAGGTCGGCAAACAATAGTGACAATCTCGCGTGAAAAATCAGGAGCGTTTACTTTAGTGCTAAACGGAAAATAGTCGCAGCGCGGTTTCTGTCAGGTGTAGGAAAAATGTCACATCAGGGGGGCGGACGGTACTTATTCCCCACCGAACATTTCAACACTTCTCTTCTCCGCCCTCCTCTTTCCCTCTCCTCTTTCCCTTCCTCCTTTCCTTCCTCTCAAATTCCACCCGTGCTGCTCCCTGATGAATGCAAACTGGTGTGAATTCAATAGCTGCAGATTAGAGCTCACTAAAGTCTTCAAAATCAGCAGGAGCGAATTATTATAAAAGCCACTGCAGCTCAAAATCTACTGCTACAAACAAGGATACGGCCATAAAGTGACACTCAACTGTCATTAGTTTATTTACAACCTGGAGTTTAACTGTCAACATATTAATTATGCCAAATCTTCCTTCACACAAAATTTCACACAAAACATAACCAAAGCAAAGACAGTTATGCTTAGTTATAAAATATATAATGGATGCAGCAGCAAAATGGAGTACATACATACAGGAAAAAGACCTAAAGGTGCTCAAGACATATGTAATGTCCCATTAAAAATATATTAAAAAATACATTGTTAAATATGTTGATGTTAATGTCATTGAAATCTGTTTTGTCAAATAAAATATGCTGTAACGTACATTGTTGCATATACAGTTAAATGCAGATATTTAAACACAGAGAACGCACTAACATATGGAAATAAAACAACATAAAATATAAAATGTAGCAAAACTTTTGCACAGCCTTGCTTATTTATGTATGTATGTATGTATGTATGTATTTGACCAGGCCTCCCAAACCTTTGCATATGACCATATTTAACTTCCATCAACTCAAAAAGATTATATATGTAGTTTATTGCAATAAAATACAAAAAACACAATATGTTGATAATGATGTTAATATTGGTAATGTGTTATCAAAGCAATACAGTATAATATGCACTCTCAATATATTTACTATACTTATTTTTTTAAGTGATGCAAAGACCAGCAGGAACAAATTAATAAACTTAAAAATGTGTAAAATTCAAAATGTAATAGATGGATAAAGCTACTAGATAAAGAAACAGTCATATTATGCACAAAACTGCAGAACTGAAACCAAAAAGTTATGCCTGTGTTCACAATGCAGACAGAAGACAGGGACTATCCATCAAGTCAAACTATATTAAATCAAAGAGGGCAATACAGCAAAACAAAGCACTATAAGCATGTACTGGTGCTCAGTGCTAATATAATGTTGATAGTAATTATATATAATTACATTGAATATAAAGGAACATGCACTGCCATTTATATTCAATATAGATTTTATTGTTTGTATGTGATGGCAGAAACAGTTTCAGAGAAGCTACACGGAGAGGCTTAAGAACAGACCTAAGATCAGCAGTGCAAATCATGAAAGTTATAAAAGTTATAAGAACTCAAAATCTAATAGATGGACATCAATTTTTAGATTATTTGCAAAGAAACTCTGTAGTGTAGCTGTAAACACACTGACTGTGCTGAATCTCCCTCCAAACAAACTTGCAGATGAAGCATAACTGAAACACAGAAGTTACCATCTTAAAAAATATGACACATCCACAAAGAAAATGGCAACTATCCATCAAGTCAAGTCTGTGCAGCAGCAGCAGCAGCATGGGGAAAAAATGGTGCTCAGTACTAATATAATGCCCTACAGTAAAAGAAATATCACAATATGTTACCGTGTGTCCCAATATATTCAGTATCATAAATATGTGTAAACAAATTTCATTTCATTTCAATATATAAAGATCTAAAATCTGTAATTTACCTGTAAATATGCAAAAGTTTAAACACTGCTGGTCAAACATCATGTTTGATTTTCAACGTAAAAGTAAGCCAACACATCCTTTACAGAGAACAATTAAACAACAGATTTTTTTAGAGCGTAAATTTTAGAGCATCATTTATTTGCTCAGTTTAAGTTTGTAAAAAAAAAAAAAGCATAAAACATAAAATGTGCCATAACTTTTTCACATGCCACATTTTATGCTTTATTTTTTCTCAATGTCAACTTCAGCAAATAAACACTAATTGTGCACTAAAAATGAAGTGTGCTCTCTGTAGAGGATGTGTTACTGTATTTTCACTCAGAAAACCATTTAAACATTCACAACTTTCACACATGAATGTATGTGTTGCGTTATGCTGCTAAATTTGTTGTAATATTTAAATACATTGAATGCTTTATAAAATATAAACTGTAATGCATAATACACATCACAATGTCTTGCACGCGGTACATAAAGCTACTCTGATCCACCTTTAACTATTAAAAAACCCGATGTCAAAACTGAACATAACTGACAGGGAAATAAAGTTAGACTTCATTTAAATAAGACAGTCTGACCTCAGCACTGAAAGACAAAGTCTTACATTGGATGTGACAACAGTCCTCTATCTATCCAAAGCCTTTAATACAAAAAGTCCATCAAATCTGACATTAATACTGAGTCTGAGGGAGCTGCAGTAAAGCAAAGGAATATAAGACACCTACTGGTGGCCTGTACTGCTGTAATGCGCTACTAAAAATGAAGAATACTGCGATATGAATACATTGAATAGGTTAATAATGTTTAATCAAATTTTGTATAACATATAGTGTAATATAGTTGCAGTTTTTGCCTCGTATTGCTCTTTATATCATGTCAAGAGAATCTTGTAGAGGCCGCACACTCTGTCCTGCCACCATAATCGCTTTAACACGGCGTTCCGGCATATGAAGAAGAAAAACTGCTAAGGATTTGGAAATGTGTTTTGCAGTCCACCTCATGTGACCACTGTTGTCTGACAGCCCAGTTCTAAATGGTGGGGCGAATCGGTAAGCCAGTGTTGCTTCACAATAGTTGGAAAGTGCGGAGAGGATCAGAGAGAAAAGAATGCTACTGGGAGATCCAAAGAGACATGCCGCTGCTGAATCCCTATCGTCAGCGCGTACGCTGGACTTTTTTTTTTTTGTTCCCCTGCTCTAATTCCCTGGCGTCAGCGAGAGTGTTGGGCTTTTTTGTGTTGGGCTTTTTTGTTTGCAGCCTGCACCAAAACTGGTCGCTGACTCTCGGGGAGATGCAGCTTCCTCAGAATAAACTGCAAACTGAGAATATACACAGATAAACAATA